ATTCAAAATATCGATTAGGATTGGCCAATTATGGATTTAATCCTTTTGGGAAAATGAGGAATGACCATAGCACATGGTCTGTGGCTTTCAGTTTACAATTTGTCGCCTTGGATGTGTCTGAAGCAATCAAATTTGTTGTCTTTGTTAATACCAAGACCGTACATTCCCAATAAAGAGATTGATGTGTATTTGCATCCATTGATTGATGAATTGAATGAGTTGTGGGAGGTGGCCAGTCCCATTTATGATGTGTATTCCAACCAAAATTTTACAATGAAGGTTGTCGTCTTATGGACCATAAGTGATTTTCTAGCTTATCGAATGTTATGAGGATGGAGTGCACATGGATATAAAGTCTGTCCACATTGTAGGCATAATAAAGGATTTATTTACTTGTCGGCGAGTCGTAAATTTTCTATTTAGGGCATTGACACTATCTCTTAGGTTTTGAAGGCAAACCACAACTTTTAACGGTTAGTGAGAGCATCGTAATGAACCAAGGCAGTTGATTGGTTTACAATGTCTTGAAGAACTTTCTATTTTGATATTTACTTTTGGAAAACCAAACATAGATGCTTCGGTTGGGCAACGCAAAAGAAGAACTTCAAGCAATAGAAGTAGTAACAGTCAATGAAAGAAGAAATCTATTTTTTATGAACTACCTTATTGGATGCATATGTTAATTAGACGCAATCTTGATGTTATGCATATCGAGAAGAATATATATGACAATGTGGTGGGAACATTGCTAGATATATATGTAGACATCGAAATTTCGGTAAATAAATGTTGATCGATAAATCAAAGTTTCAACGCTCATGTATTACATAAATTTTACACGTAACGTGTGTCTAAACAAAAAATCGAAATAGTTGGAAAAGTCATCAAACAGGACACGTGTCAACACCTGGCAGAAACGACTTATTTCATCTGGAATATTATATTCAAAATTAGGCCTTGGAAAATTCTATAAATAGAAGCCAATTTCATTCATTTAGGAGAACCAAAATCATTAGGCAAAATTCTTGAAGCTCTGAAGCTCTGAAACTCCGAAGCTCTCAAGCATCCAGGTTCCCGAAGAATCAAGAAAGCCTTCTTCGTTCTTCGTTCATCGTTCTTCCAAGATCAAGCCCCAACGACCCTTTAGATCAACAATCATCCACCAATTCAAGATCAAGCCCCGACGGCCCTTGAAGAAAGTGTTCTTCGTTCTTCGTTCTTCCAAGATCAAGCCCCGACGACCCTTGGATCAACAATCCACCAATTCAAGATCAAGCCCCAAAGGCCCTTGAAGAACTTCCACCTTCAAGATCAAGCCCCGACGGCCCCTTGGATCAACAACATCAACAAGTCCACACGTCTAACAGTTCTTCAAGATCAAGCCCAAAAGCCCTTGGAGATCCGTTCATCACTGTTCTTCAAAGATCAAGCCCAAAAGCCCCTTGAAGATCCGCTCAAATCCACCTTCAAGATCAAGTCCACGGCCCTTGAAGAACGTTCATCCTTAGATCAAGCCCAACGGCCCTTTGGATCAATCGTACATCCACAAATCAACACCTTACGGAGATTGAATCAGAGGATCAAATTTAAGAGAGATTGTAACCCAAAATCATCAAAAATACAAATATTTGTTTGTGCACGTTGTTCTTGTCTCTTTCGTTTCAGGAATTTTCCGTGTTCACAAATTGGCACGCCCAGTGGGACAATCTCTGCCTCTCATCTCTTTCTCCGTTCAAGAAATTCAAGCGCATTTCCAAAATTAATGGCATCAAGGAAGGCTCAAACTGTTCCCGCAACCGGCGCAAAGAACAAGAGCGTCATCGTCGCAAGTGGTGTCACTTTGGGCATCACGACTCAAAGCATGGCAAAAGCTAGTTCTGCCGCCTCTTTCACCTCTGCATCAACTCTGCCAAGGGAACAAGAGCACCCAAGGCACGAGCCTTTGATCACCTTAGCCTCACTAAGGGCACCAAGGGGGGAAAGCCCAAGGAAATACTCCGAATCCATGCTTTCCGATGCCGATTCAAGCGACAGTTCAGCCATGCAAGTCATGACCATTGGAGCAACTTCAATCGATGAGCAGCTGGCTCAAATGAATGAAGCAATCGCTGCACTCGTCAACCGATTGGAGGCACATGACGGCGAGAAACCTGACCCAGAAGATGAGCCTACGGTGGAGAGTCGATGCGAAGCCGGAGCCAGAACAAGCAGCGGCACTCATGGGATCTCTTTCTATCTAGCAGCTGCAAGAGATGATCACCAACACCATCAAGGCACAGTACGAAGGGAGCTCAAATACATCCAGGTTGTACTCGAAGCCGTATTCAAAGAAGATCGACGCCTTAAGGATGCCGAATGGTTATCAACCACCAAAGTTCATGCAATTTGATGGAAAGGGAAACCCGAAACAGCACGTTGCCCACTTTGTTGAAACTTGCAACAACGCAGGGACCAAAGGGGACTACCTCGCCAAGCAGTTTGTGCGCTCGCTGAAAGAAAACGCCTTTAAGTGGTACACGGACCTAGAGCCTGAGTCCATCAATAGCTGGGAGCAATTGGAGCGGGAATTCCTCAACCGCTTCTACAGCACCCGCCGCACTGTGAGCATGCTAGAGCTAACGAGCACAAAGCAGTGGAAGGACGAGCCAGTCATTGACTACATCAACAGATGGCGCACTCTAAGCCTCGACTGCAAAGACAAGCTCTCGGAAACCTCTTCAATCAAGATGTGCATCCAAGGCATGCAATGGGGTTTGCAATACATCTTTCAAGGCACCAAACCATGGATCTTCGAAGAGCTAGCCACCCGCGCCTATGACATAGAGTTGAGCATCGCCCATCATGGGAAGAAGGAACCGATCGCCGACTACAAGAACGACAAAGTTCTTAAGACAAAGGTGGAGAAGGTTGCATGGAAACCCACCAAGGAAGCGATGACGGTCAACACATCTCCCGTCAAAATCTCTACACGAGGCAAGGCGATTAAAGTCGAAGCTTTTCGTGATCAAGAGATGCGTAGACGCACTTTGAAGGAGCTTGAGGAGAAGACTTATCCATTCCCCAACTCTGATATGGTTACCATGCTGGATGACCTATTGGACAAGAAGGTGATCGGTTTACCTGAGTGCAGACGGCCGGAAGAGATGAATCGTACCGACAATCCAAGATACTGTAAATTCCACCGTTTCATCAGTCATCCGATAGAAAAATGCTTCGTGCTGAAAGATCTCATCATGAAGCTGGCTCAGAAAGGAATCATCGAGCTAGATCTTGACGATGTGGTGAAGTCAAATTATACCACCATCACTTATGGCTCTGTCAACTCAAAATCTTCACCTCAATCTTTGGGGGCATGCTCCAAAACCATGCCAGTCAAGCAAAGCAAAGTTGAAGAATTGACTCAAGTCACTCCTAAGAAATTACCCAAGAAGCATACGTCTCCTCCACAAGTTCGCCAATCGGAAAGGAGGCAAAGCAGCTCTTGTCAACCTTCAAAGCAATGTGAACGTGTTGAAGATGATGAAATTGTGACACAAAGATCGTCCATTGCCATCACAATGCGCGATTTCTTTCCCAAAGACTTCTTCAATCACTCGGTTAAGGCTCCTTGCTATGAAGATTGTGAGGAACGCCTCTCCAAAATTGCTTGACAAAATTCACAAATTCTCCTCGCCCGCACGAGTCTAAACTGCATGGCACAAAGCTCCTGGTCTGCACGAGCATAAAAGGCAACACCAAACACTCATTGCCTGCACGAGCCTAAACTGCATGGCACAACACTCCTGGTCTGCACGAGCATAAAAGGCAACACCAAATGCTCCTTGTCTGCACGAGTTGAAACTGCAAACGACACCAACACTCCTTGCCTGCATGAGTTAAAACTGCGTACGGCACAAAAAATCCATCGTTCATTTGAACTACGTTTTGACTTGATCTCTTTCTTTGGAAGGGTACGTAGGCAGCTTGAATATTCAATTTCAAGTTCAGTCACATCAAAATAAAAATAAATAAAAATAAATAAAATAATAATAAGTGTTTTATTAAAAAGAGTCAATTTTATTACAAAAAAAAATGAATACATATGTTATTATGTATTTACAAAAAAAAAAAAAAAAAAAAAAAAAGGAATATACAAGTATTATATATATATATATATATATATATGTGTGTGTGTGTGTGTGTGTGTGTATGCATATACATAACTACCAAAAGCCCAGGCCCAGTTCTTGGACCTACAGCCTTCATTTCCTGTAAAGTCCAGGCCCAAGTAAACTCCGCTCCATCGACTACAGGGCATCGCCCTGTGGACCATCTTCCCCCTCTCTGTAATCAACATCCCTGCTCTCCGCCGTTTGAGAAAAAAATCATTGTTGAGAAGCAACTGCAACCATGCCGCGGTACAGCAAGGTTGCCCCGAGCCCTCTGCTGAAAGCCCAGTGCCATCATCAATTCCTCACCGTCATCATCTCTGTCTCTTTGTCTTCATCAAGGGCAGCGACGATTTGATTAACTCGGGCGACACTCACAAATCAGCTCGTCCAGACAGTCGTGGAGCTTAAATTGCAGAACAAATTCCTCAAATCTCAGTTCGAATGATTCTAGAATCTTCAACTGCTAAAGCACGGAAGCAACAACAATGGGATCTCGAGCAGGAGAATGACGACTGGGAAGTTCCTGGACCTCATAGGCGGGCAAATGCGGTGGAGCTCGCATAAGAGAAGAAGTCTGGGAAGATGAGTCAGTGCTCTGCTGTATGCGGGAGTTGCTGGACTTTTTTCAACATTGGCAGCAGTGGAGGGCATAAACCAAATAGTGACCGGAGAATTGGTGTCTCTCTCAGAACAAGAGCTCGTCGACTGTGACACGTCCTACAACGCCGGATGCAATGGCAGTCTCATGGACTACGCCTTCGAGTTCATTATCCTAAACGGCGGCATTGACACTGAATCCGACTATTTAATCCGTTGATGTTGACTAGCACCGAAACCAGGCAGGAGCAGATGACGGCGGTGTGGAAAGAAAAGTTATTAGCTATGGTGCGCACACCCACACCCCACACGCGAACCGGGTCCAATGGAATGACTCCGTTTCGATCTACACCAGGCCCAAGCCCAGTCTCTCCATCGCCTCACACACCGTCAAACACGGTGGTGTCTCCGGCCTTGTCTATTCAAAGCTCAGAATTGCCAGAAAACCCAATTGGCCTGTCCCCTCCGGCGCCAGCCACGACATGCTTAACTACCAAGGCAATTAGCACCACCACCACTGCCACCACCTCGACTGGAAATTGCAACAATGGTAGTAGTGTATTCGCACCTTCCTCCGCTTCAGCGTTGATGACACAGCCACCCCAAGCATCGTCACCATTCTCATTTACCAATCAAGTATCCACATTGGGCCGCCTGGATGGCTCTACCACAACCTCCTCCATTAATGAACCCACATCACTTTCGCCTTCTCCTTCTGCCCATCAGCAGACAGCAGCAGCCTAGCAAGCGGCGGTGCAGTTTTTTCTACTTTGCCCTCCTCCACCCCAAAAACCCAAAAAAAATAAAAATTTCGGTTTTCCGTTCGGTTACTCCGTCGCACCTGGTTAGGATCCCGGACGATTTATCCCAAAAAAATCTCAGAAAAAACCAAAAAAGCAGCCAGAGTTTCACTTCCGGTCCTTGGGTTTTTCTAAATTTTTAGTTTCGATCCTTTGAGTTTGCAGAAAAATCTTCCCAACAAAAAGAGGAAATTTTGAAGTGAGGGTTTTGTGATTTTGGTGTGACATGGCTCAGATTCAAGTTCAGCACCAGCAGCAGCCTCCTGCGAACGGCCCGAACGTTGTGTCGGCGAACGTCGGCGGTGGCGCCCCTCAGTTTGTTTCGACGTCGCTGTACGTTGGGGATCTTGACCAAAATGTAACCGACTCGCAGCTGTACGATCTGTTCAACCAGGTCGGTCAGGTCGTGTCGGTGAGGGTCTGCAGGGACTTGAGCACTCGCCGATCTCTGGGCTATGGTTACGTCAACTATAGCGCTCCTCAGGATGTTGCGAGGGCACTGGAAGTTCTGAACTTCACTCCACTAAAGCCCATGAACAAAGCCAAAAGATCACCATCTCTTCCACCATCAAGGTTGTCCCTGCCTTGCCTCCGCTCAGTTCGAGGGTCTTGGGTTCGAGTTTGTCCTTCTTTGCCTCGCTGCTATGCCGTGGGACTTGGATTGCATCCATCTCCTCCTCGACGCTATGCACTACCTCCTCCTTTTTCCGTCTCTCGGACTCGGCCTGGGTTTTCACCCACGAACCCAGCTTGCAGAGAGCACCATATATATATATAAAAAAAAAGAATAAAATTACAAGGGTTTCGGTGCATCAGGCACCATACAAAAGAAACAATAAATAAATAAATAAATATTAAAATAATATATATATATATATATATATATATATGGATGGTGCATCAGGCACCATGTGCAAAAAAAAAAAAAAAAAACAAATGCATTGAGAGAAATAAAGTCCGTTTTTATTTATTTTTTTTGGAAATTTTACATAAATTTGCATTATACATACTTAATAAAAAAAAATAAAAAAAACAAATGCATTGAGAGAAATAAAGTCCGTTTTTATTTATTTTTTCTGGAAATTTTACATAAATTTGCATTATACATACTTAAAAAAAAAATCAAATCAAATTTACAAGAGGGGATCTTCAAGGACGATCAGGTGCCGCCTCACCACTCGGCAGAGCTCCAGAAATGAGAGGCGCCGGAGGTTGACTGTTTGAAGCCACACCACTCAGCGGAACTTCAGGAAGAAGAGGAGCCAAAGGTTGATCATTTAGAGCTTCATTACGCGGTACAGCCCCAGAAGACGAAGGCAAATGCTGCTGGAACAAACCCACAAACCTCTGATGATCAAGTAAAATCTGACCATCAGATTCCTGCATCTGGTTAATCTTCCTCTTCATGTTTGTCGCATAGCATGTGCGAGCTTATGCAACTGTTTATTCTCCTGCTTGAGCCCTCTAATCTCCTGTTTGTGACTTATCACCTCAGCTGCCAATGATTCAACTTGACAGGTTCGAGCAAATAGGCGTTGGGCCATATTAGACACAGAACCTGCACACTGCACACTGAGAGCCAAAGAATCCTTAACAGCCAACTCATCAGACCGTTTGGAAAGTAGTCTGTTATCTCTGAGAGTGACAAGGTTTCGGGCCACCACCGCAGCAGTCATATCATTCTTCACCACCGAATCCCCAACGGTAAGAGGACCAGTAGGGGATATGAAGGATGGGCGCCATATGTTGTCTGGGGAATGCGGGACTGCCTCTTCACCAAGATTTAAGTCAAAACGACGGTCGGAGGGTCCAGACATTTTCAAAGGTGTTGAAGAAGGAAGAGGTCGGACAAATCAAGATCTTAGAAGTGCAAGAAGGGAGTTTTCTATAAGCAAAAAATTCAAGTGTGCTTTGAAACGAACTGCGTGCCTCTATAAAAATCAACACTCGACGGGAGTTCAGAGATTGAAGAAGCGAGCTCAGAATTCGAAGAGGCCAATTCAAAAATCGAAGAGGCAAGCTCAGAAATCGGAGAAACATCTTGCTTTTCCAGATGCGTTAGCACCCGTCACGCGCAAACTCAGCTTTGCAGAAATCACGGGCAATTTGTTAAAGCGCCAATCCCAGATATCGAAGAGGCGCCAGTCTTTTTCAGCCTCGTCAGCACCCGTCACACGCAAACTCAGCTTTGCGGAAATCACGGGCAATTTGTCGAAGCGCGGATCCCAGATATCGAAAAGGCGCCAGTCTTTTTCAGCCTCGTCAACACCTGTCACATGCACACTCAGCTTGGCGGAAATTACGGATAATTTGTCGAAGATTTCTGATAAAAAAGAAAGCACGTGAAGCCATACTGATTAATCACGCATTGGTTGCCGACACGAGTAAAAGAATAGTACCTCTACAGGTACTAAAGAATTTCCTATAATTGTCCACCTTCACCCTCCATAGCAAGGCAGACATACATAACCTTTCTTCATCTCCGAGAATGCCTTCCCAACGAAGCCTCTCGAGTTACTCACTGTTTCTTATTCCTTGGGGTACCTCTGCAAACAAATGACACCAAAGCAAAAGTATCTCATATCACCAGGGTAGAAAGCAAGAGTATCTCATATCATGCGTTCTCCTTGTCCTTTCCTTTGTCCTTGTTCTTACCTACAAAGACAAGGATAAAGAAAACAATATGCCAGAACCTCCACTCAAACTCGGATGCCACATTTGCCTGGAGAACAGATAAGGCAAGTGAAAATGATACCTTGCAGCATGTGGAGACAACGTGCAGAAGAAACAAGCAGAGAAGAATGCAGCCTTCACAGTCAGCTCAGCAGAAGGAGTCCGAGCTGAGGAACTCAAGAAGCTGCCACATCTGTCTGAAGAAACAAGCAGAGAAGAATGCAGCCTGCACAGTCAGCTCAGCAGAAGGAGTCTGAGCTGAAGAACTCGAGAAGATGCTACATTCTGCCAGAAGAATAGATAAGACAAGGGAAAATGATACATTGAAGCATGTGGAGACAAGCACAACAAAGCACGTGTCCATTCATCCGCTACTTCTTCAAAATCAAAAGTATCTCATATCATCAGGTTTGCAATCACTCTGAGTGGAGGACTCGTTTTGACCCTCAAATTCTTGGGTTGACTTGCTAGGCATTATGGGCTGCATGTGCCGTTTCACCACCCTTGGATCAAATCCTTAAAGATCAAGTCACCAACTGGAAGAAGAACCCATCAATCTTGAAGATCATACCGTTGACCAAACTGCTCAGGTGTGAATTAAAAAGATTGAACAAAGCAACAAGTCGTCACCTTCACCTCGTGCCTGCTTGCCATGTGTTTGAGTCAATCTTCAAGAATCAAGCCTCAACGGCCCTTGAAGAAGTTTCCTGCCAAATTCAAGATCAAGCATCGACGGCCCTTGAGGAAATCACAAGTCAGATTCAAGATCAAGCGTCCACCATATTTGAATCAAATCCAGTTCAAGAATAAGCTGTGGAAAATCAACAATTTGAGGAATCCAGAAAATCCTCCAACCCAGTTCAAGATCAAAGCTGTGGAAAGTCAACAAGCGCAACAAAATACGTGCCGATTCATCCACTACCAAAGCCAAAGATCATCTACCACATGAAGCTCCTTGTGGTCCAATTTCAACCTTCAAGATCAAGCCTCGACGGCCCTTGAAGAAATCTCCAACCCAATTCAAGATCAAGCCTCAACGGCCCTTGAAGAAATCTCCAGCCCAATTCAAGATCAAGCCTCGACGGCCATTGGATCGACATCTACATTAAGTGACTTCAAAACGCATCTCCTACACGCGACAAGCACATGTGTACGACGCGCCTTGAAGTGGGGGCATTTGTAGACATCGAAATTTCGGTAAATAAATGTTGACCGATAAATCAAAGTTTCAACGCTCATGTATTACATAAATTTTACACGTAGCGTGTGTCTAGACAAAAAATCGAAATAGTTGGAAAAGTCATCAAACAGGACACGTGTCAACACCTGGCAGAAACGACTTATTTCATCTGGAATATTATATTCAAAATTAGGCCTTGGAAAATTCTATAAATAGAAGCCAATTTCATTCATTTAGGAGAACCAAAATCATTAGGCAAAATTCTTGAAGCTCTGAAGCTCTGAAACTCCGAAGCTCTCAAGCATCCAGGTGTTGTACTTTTATGCGCAAACGGAAGCGAATTATAACAAAGTACCAAATATCAACGTCGTAGGTGAAAGCTAAAACAAACAATCTCAAATTGACACAAGAGATTTACGTGGTTCGGCGTAAAGCCGACTCCACGGGCGAAGCACGGCGAGGAATTTCACTAAACAAATGGAGATTACAAAAGAGTGTTTAAACTCTCACAACCCAAATCCCACAAATTACAAATCCTAAACCAAACGAGTAGATAACCCAAAACTAACGGAGAAGATTCTCCCAAATTGCTCTCTAACTCTCAAATTGATTCTCACCAAATTGTCACACGAATGAGCCACACAAAATACACTAACCCTAAGGTCCTATTTATAGTGCATAGGACTTAGGTTACAATAGGAATCCTAATAGGACATAAATCCAAATCCTAATCAAATAGGTAATTAACAAAATCTCTCCACCAAGGAAACTAACTAAGAAGTCAAAACCAAACCCAAATAGGACACCAAAACCAAATAGGTAACACAAACCTAATTAATTGCATTATCCTAATTTTGAGCCAAGAACCCAACACCAGGTTCCCGAAGAATCAAGAAAACCTTCTTCGTTCTTCGTTCATCGTTCTTCCAAGATCAAGCCCCAACGACCCTTTTGATCAACAATCATCCACTAATTCAAGATCAAGCCCCGACGGCCCTTGAAGAAAGTGTTCTTCGTTCTTCGTTCTTCCAAGATCAAGCCCCGACGGCCCTTGGATCAACAATCCACCAATTCAAGATCAAGCCCCAAAGGCCCTTGAAGAACTTCCACCTTCAAGATCAAGCCCCGACGGCCCCTTGAAGAACTTCCACCAAATTCAAGATCAAGCCCCGACGGCCCTTAAAGAAAGTGTTCTTCGTTCTTCGTTCATCGTTCTTCCAAGATCAAGCCCCGACGGCCCCTTGGATCAACAACATCAACAAGTCCACACATCCAACCGTTCTTCAAGATTAAGCCCAAAAGCCCTTGGAGATCCGTTCATCACTGTTCTTCAAAGATCAAGCCCAAAAGCCCCTTGAAGATCCGTTCAAATCCACCTTCAAGATCAAGTCCACGGCCCTTGAAGAACGTTCATCCTTAGATCAAGCCCAACGGCCCTTTGGATTAATCGTACATCCACAAATCAACACCTTACGGAGATTGAATCAGAGGATCAAATTTAAGAGAGATTGTAACCCAAAATCATCAAAAATACAAATATTTGTTTGTGCACGTTGTTCTTGTCTCTTTCGTTTCAGGAATTTTCCGTGTTCATAATATATAAAAAGTGTAAAGGTGGATTGGTGGATTGGTTGCACGTGCAAATCTTGAAGTCTTGAACATAAGAGATAGTCAAAACCCAAGTAGAGAAAGAAATAAAACATTTGGATCTCCAATATAG